TTATGAATATAATTTATTTAGGTGCATTGATTATAACAAAAAATGGCCACTGAAGATTTATATTTGACAATAATAAGCATACTGAAAGATACACTTTTGAATATATTTTTATGCAGTCCATAAACTACAAGAAATGGAAATTGCATATTTTTACTGTAATACACTTTAGAACCAGTATAGTGTAGTTAAAATCACCCAAGGCATTCTCATAACATCTGCTCTCTGGCAGGTAGAAATGGGATCCCTACACATTTTACACCATTTGCAAAACATGTTCATTACATGATAGTGCCGTTCTGCACTACATCCTGCAGTACCTTGTTATACTCTTGGACAAGTTTCATAGCTTGATTCTGGAGAGGCAGGAAATTCGACTCGGCTCTTCTCTGGGCTACAAATTCTTGGAGAGTGAAGTTTGACTGTTCAAAATGTGCCCATTTCTTCTCAAGATTGGTTAGCTGAGTGTAGGTTTCATTTTCATTTAGTTGTTTCTGAAATAAAGTAAAAATATTAGTGCTCCCCTTTGAAAATTCAATCTAAGAGTAAATGTAAATATTCTCTCTTTTTCTGGAGTGAAAGGGCCCTAATAATAATATAATTAGTACAAAATTTAACAGAAAGAATATCACAATCAATTTTGCAAAAGCTAAAAAGGAAGTGCATGATAACCTCTACTGACATACACCAGCAAAAGTAGTACTCACCTTAAGTGATTTGACTGTACTCTCAATTTCATGGAGATTCTGAGTCACAGCACCTTTCCTCTCATCCAGCTGCTCTTTCTCGTCAGCTAAGTTCCTTCGCTTCTCCTCAGCTTTCGATCTTAGGCCATCCAAGTCAGAAAACTCGACCATTTCCTTTTCCATCTTAGCTAATTTTTCCTTCAGTTCTACCATCTCCTTTTGAATCTTTAATTCCAGTGCTTCAATCTTCAGAGAAAATTGTGAGTTAATATAAATCCATGTAACTCTACGAAAGCATCAAAATCAGTTTCATCGCATAAACCATTCCTACAACATCTACCATTCATTAAAAAGGTATCTAGATCATGCAGAAAATAGACATACCTTTTGTAGATTGGACTGCAAATTCAGGTGTTCTTGCTTCAGTCCTTGCTCTGTGTATTTCGACTTCTCTAACTCTCCTTCCTTGAAAGCCAAGTCAGACTGCATAATGTCAAAGTCACGTGTACTGCAATTTTCCAAAGGAAGGATTAATTTGTGAATAATATGCAGCTGTAATCTTATACTACAAGATAAATAATATGAAGCTAGGTTGGTGGAAAATACCATTAAATACCATGAAAAAATTTAAATATAACAATCAAATTGGTTCTGCCTCAAAGTGGAGTATCAAAATCAAATCCAAATTTTGGAATGAATACAGGACAGATACTGTCACTACAACAATTATAATCAAACCATAACTGTTTCTGGATGATCACAGACAAGCAACAAGAATTAGTACTGAAACTAAGGATAAAAGGCAAAAATAAAACTTTCAAATAAGAATTTTTAACACTTTACCTAGGGAGGTGATTGAAATGGGCCAGATTGCGGGAAAGCTTTTCAAGTAATGCAACGTTGTTCTTCTCCAGAGTTTCCAATCGCTTTACTTCTTCCTGTTTATTCTTATCAAAAGTGGCCAAAAATTGTTCCATTGTTTCCTCACGTTTCCTTAGTTCTCTGTATTTCTGGCTTCTCTCACTCTGGTTCTCTTCTAAATCCTGGAGACAGAATTATGATTCAGAATTTCATCTAATATCTAACAAGTATACTTCTTTTTGCAATACTCATGTCTTCAAACATAACCTTAAGGACACTTGGTGTCAAAAAAAAAAAAAAAAAAAAAAAAAAAGCGGGCTCATAATGTTCCTCAACCATTTGGAAATAATTTCAAAGCCTTGTGCAAACTTTTAGGCGACAAGACATGGCTGTATAACATTTAGAGGAACAGAGGGTCTAAAGCCTATGTGTGGGAATGTGGGAGTTCAGGTACAATATGGGTAAAACATAGACAATTTTCCTTTGAAATATCTCATCAAATGTGGTTGTGCTTGGAGTAAATGAACACTACAGTTGACATTATCATCAAAGGAAAACTACCAACAGCATTCTGTCAGAGCGATTAGTGACACGTGTCACTTTTTCTCAAGGTATTTAGTGCTATTTGCATCCCTCTGTTGAGAGTTATTATGCCATCATCACCATGGACTTTCCCTGATCTATGGGGACGATTACAAAAATGCCTAATATGCACATCTAAAGTTACCACTTGACTATTCACAGCCAAAAAAGACAAGCAAAACATTAAGTATTAAGGTCACTATCCATTTTATACAGTCATTCAGTATAATGTTGTCATGAGATCATGGTGTCAGAATGTATTTCTCTGCTTTGTATACACACACTGTAGGCAACACAAATGCCTATTGAACTAGAAAGTATCATATCAAATATCAAATAATTTTTTTAAAAGATTTTTCCAAGGCCATATCAGGACATGTCACATTTTCCATTAAGGAAAGACTTTTCAAACCCATTAATTATTTATCTAAATCAACAAACCAATTTTCAGGTGAGCCATAAACTCCATAAAAGTATAACACTATCATTCCTCAATATAATTTTTCAATCCTATTTCACAGACTGTTTGTCTTACCTGATCCAACTGCTGAAGTTCCTCCTGGACTCTGCGTATTTGATCTTGAACCTCTCCAATCTGACGTTCCATTGTTGCAATCTCTGCATTGTCTTCTTTAACCTGACCAGTTACACAGAATCATTACAAAAGTACCAATCAGAGCAGCAATAATTACATAATTACATTTCCCCCATTTTTAGCAACAATTTCCTTCTAGCCACAAGCCACTGATTTTAACCCCCTTGCTTCCAGGAACACATGTGCCATCCCACATTTATCTTAGTCTAATCAGTTTATAACCTTGCACATGGCAGTGCTTGGAAACTTTAACAAGAATTTAGGCAAGAAAATAGCACTAAGGCCAGGTTATTTCATACATGTATCAAAGCCACAAACCAGGATTTTTATCAGTGTCTATATGGCATGAAAATAAATGTGTAAGTGCCACTATATTTAGGTCCCAGAGTTTAGTCCTCTCAGAATTTTTATCCCGCTCAGAGCAATGGGGTTAACATTCTTCTGGCTGCACTGATTACTATCAACATATTTCATATCCCATATACATTTTTATGGCAAATCTATGGATAACAAATATATCTCTACACCTTGTGCCCTGGAGGTTTTAAGACTATAACAAAAGGTACCAGTCATGCAGTATTATATGAATTAAAGCATCAGTTATTATATATAATGTTTACCTGAAGCAAGAGCCTCTCTCTCTCTTCTTTAGGTGTTCCTCTTTTTTGATTCTCGTTGATAATTTCGGCTTTTTTCTCCTCCAGGTCCTGAAGCTTTTCATATAAGCCCACAGCTTCCTGCTTCACCTGTGTGGTTAAAAAACATTCAAATACAATATGTAAGATCACATGAAACAAATTTTGATATTCTAAACATATTCTAAATATCCTTGAAAACCACAAGGATAATTACACAAGAATGGTTCATAACAAAGGGTATCAATATTACTTTATAAAGAACACCAAAGGTGTGTTGTTTATTTACAATTGTTAAAAACAGGTAAGTGGATGTTGAAAAATCTTCTATAAAGAAACTATTTTCAATGGAATATCAAATTTGAATTTCATTAATGAAAAATATATAAATTACATATCTATCTGTCACAGTGCATACTAAATTGTAAATTGTTTACCTACAAATGAATTCAAAAAATGCATATTCTAGGAAAATATCACTGCATACCTTTATTCTCAACCAACATAATCAAATAACAAAGTGCACCCAGCCAAAGAACGAAATGTGAATTCCAGAAAGCTAAGGAATCCATGCTAATGTCATATCAAATGATTGGCTGATGCTGCTGTTATATCTACCTATAATCAACCATCACACACTGAGATATGCTTGATTTTTGGATGACATTTGTTTAACAGACAATAACAGAAGAGTAGTAGAAGAGACTGGAAAGATGAAATCAGGTAAGGTCACAAAGTCTACTAATCAACTCCTTTGTGGCTAAGCACTAGCAGAGCCATCTATGTGCAGAGACATTTCGCAAAAATAGAAAAATTGAGCACAGCATTTTCTCCATTTTTAATGCATTTTCCCAGTGGCATGTGGTTAACACAGGTGGGACAGAGTTTGGAGAGGAGCTAAGAAGAGGAAGAGGAATGTCTCTGCTGACCTCATCAAGGCTTTCTGAACTTTCCTCGAACTCTGAAGTTGTAACATACCACTAAAACTACTTATTAAATTATATTTGTTAATAACATTTATCATACAATAAATTCAGTCCTATGTACCTTTGACAGGGCCAGCTCATCCTCTAATGCAGCTTTCCTGTTATCGAGGGCATCTAACTCCAGCTGCATCTGGTCAAGTTGCTGAAGGAGGGTGGTATTGGTCTGCCGCAGATCAAAGTATTTCTGTCGTAGGTTTGGCTGCATCGCCTCCAATAGACTCTCACCCATGTGCCTTTCCTGCAAAGTTTCAGTGAATCAATATACTGTGGGCCTACTAATGACTGTGTAATATTGCAATAAAACTTGTTGGTGCCTTATTATATTTTACTTGTCTCTACACTTTTTTTTACTCTAAATAGCATTTTTGCCTTAAATTATTAAATGCATGAAAAAGTACATTTGCTGAAAATGAATTGCTGTTATTTATCAACTCAAAATGCAAATAACTGTATCTTAGCTGAAAATTAAATGTACCCATTCATCAACCTTTTTCCTTATCAAAGTTCAAAGCCCACATCCACTAAATTAAAACTAATTGTATATCAAGGCTCACACATTTCATGCCTTTCGAACACACAAAAAGATTAAACCCAAGAAAATTCCTCGAAGCCAAACCTCTTCAATATCAACTTCCAGCTGCCTCATCATGGACTCAAGATCCTGTTTGTGTGAGAAAAGAGAGTCGAGTTTGTCCGCTTCCTCCTTGTTGGTTTCCTTCAGGCCCTTGATCTCTTCGTCAATCTCAATCTGTTCGGTGTCCGTGTTTAAGAGGTCCACCAGTAGGTTGTAATCTCCTAACGTTCCCTGAAGCTCTGAAACACACCAGTCGAGCCTATTAATCCTTGACTAGAAAGTAACAAAAATGTGACACCAGGATACAGGAAGAATCAAGAGAGGCTCACTCAGAACAGAACAGAACAGGACAGAACTCAATAATCATCACTGGGTAAATATTGGCCAATATCAACTATTTCTACTGTGAAATTTTATTTATCAAATCTTTGCTTCCATATGCTAATAAATATGATTACATAACTGAATAAAAAAAAACTAACATAAATAACCAGAAATTAGTACTACTACTACTACTACTACTACTACTTTAAATATTACTGCTATTAATACTAATACCATTTTAAATATTACTACTACTACTACAAATATAACTACTACTATGACTACTGCTACTACTACTACTACTAATAATAATAATAACTACTGCTACTACTACTGCTAAAAATAATAATAATAATAATAATAATAATAAGAGGAGAAATCATGATGATGATGATGATGAAAATCATAGCAGCTTGTCATCTACACACTGTGGCCAATACCAACCTGTGAGTTCCTGTGCCATTTCCTTGACGCGCTTGTCATACGTGAGGAAGGTGGACTGTTCCTGCTTCATCTTGTCAATCTCTGTGCTGAGGTGCGTGATCTCCGTGCCCAAGTCCGTGATCTTGGTGCGCAGCTGGCCCATGAAGTAGCTCTTGTCCTGGACCTGGTGGCAAATGGTACAAAATAAAAATGTAATGTTAAAAGTGTATAGCATGCTGAAGGAGTAAAGGATGAAGAAAAAAAAGGAAAGAAAAATGACAAGAGAAAAAAAGTGAGGAAGTAGAAGAGAAAGATTAAGAAGATGAAGGAGAACAAGAATGCAAACTTAAAAGAAATGGAGAAAGAGAAAAGGAAGTAGGTATAGAAGGAGACGAAAAAAGGAGCAGATAGTAATGGAGATGGAAAAGTAGGAGGAAACATGGAAGGAAAAGGAGATGGAGAAAGAGAAGAGAAAGAAGAAGAGGATGGAAAAGAAGAGAAGGAAGACCAAGAAAAAAAAGAGAACAAGAATGGGTAGAGAAAAAAAAAAAAGGGAAGAATAAGATGTACACATGAAAGGAGAGAAAAGGGAAGTGAATGGAGGAGAAGAGAGAAAAAAAAAAAAATTGAGAAAAACTGATAAGGAATCTTGATATAACATCTGTACAAGCAACACAGAATTTTTGGTTTAAAGAACCGTAACTTCAACCACTCACCTGCCTCTGAGGTCCACGTGATGATGTTTTCATGCCGCTAAGTCCTTGCTGGGTGATGGGTCTGTCCACCACATTGATCTATCGTTTACAAAATCAACATTAAAAAAAATGTAAATCATATCACGCAATTTATACATATTCTCTAGGTCAATGATGCCCAGTTGTTTCTAACCCATGACCTCTGTAAGAAGAGTTAAAAACCCAATGGTTCTTCCTAACTTGTATAGCATATTCTTCAACATCTGAAGTCTGAGATGAAACATTTTAAAGTTACTGTAAATTACCTATAGATTGGCAATAATACACAGAAACGATATTTAAGGAGCAGAAAAGGCTTGTGGACCCTTTCCAACATACAAAACTTCTTTAAATGCATCTGCTTCATAAAAGGTATATCTCAGGTTGCTGAAAATATCTCATGAAATGCACACAGGACTTTATAATATGCTTACGTAATTCAATATCAAAAATATCAGTAATCCTTTTATCCAATTCATTGTCAAAAAATAAATCCCTCTGAAACAAACAACTTACTGGTGTATTAAACCCTATACCAGTGGCTACCCCAGTCCTTGCTCCTGGGCGCTGTACACTGGCAGTAGAAAGGAGTCTAGATGCCGTTCCAGGTGCATTTCGCAGTGCTGCACTAATCGGACGAGCTGTGATGGGGCGACCTGATGTTGTCGGTCTGCTGTTCCCATCCCCCTAAAATAAGGAAAGAGTAGGTACTCAGGTATCATATAAATATCATCCCTACTACTACTGTTACAGCAACTACTACTACTGCTAAAGTTACTGCTAAAGTTACTACTACTGCTTCTGCTGCTGCAACAAATACTACTATTACTACTACTATTACTACCACAAATACAACTACAACTACTACTACTACTACTACTACTACTACTACTACTATTAATAATAATAATAATAATAATAATAATAATAATAATAATGATAATAATAATAATAATAATAATAATAATAATAATAATAACAATAACAATAATGATTACTACTGTTACTACTACTGTTACTACTATCATTACCATGCAATCTACAGCATATGCATTAATAATGGTAAAAAATTACAACTATCACTACTAATTCAAACATAGCAAATTAAATAGTTCATTAAACAGTACAACAAACAAGACACCAAGCGATGTAGATACATCTTGTTCCCCCCCTAAAACAGTTGAAAAAAAATAAATGCCTGAGTAACTCACCTGTCTCGACCGATCACCGTAAGACGATGTCTGGCGGGTATCCGGTCTCTCCATTGCCATGGACCGGGAGCCTGGACGATCAGCCATGGACATTCCCCGAGACAGTGGACCCTCTCCTGGTGAATTATTGAGAGTGTAAAAGTACCATATTGTGAAGAAGAAAAAAAAAAAATCAGAATTTAATTTCTTTAGCTGCTAGATTACCAGTATGATCATCATTTACATTTGGAAAAGGAAATATTTTCTCCCGAATAAAAATTCTAAACTATAATAATATCCATACAGTCAACTATGTTAGTAATCCTTTGCCACTTCCTTGTTAAACATTATGAATATGAGCATGTAATGTGATGATAATAAAAGAAATTTCATAAATGAGATGCTAATCATTATATCACTAACCTCTTGTATAAAATCTATTCACTCCCCACCACCTGTTCTAAAGGGCAGCAGTTATTTTGCATCAATGTCATTAATGTCCCTCTCCAGGTACACATGCAATATTACATAGTACAGTTTGTGTGACACTTGTGATATCCACACAGTGCATACACACATCTCATTCACTTTATATGCAGATAGTGAGGGTAAGAAAAGGGGAAAAAGGAATTGTATTTAGGCTTTGTGTGTGTGTGTGTGTGTGTGTGTGTGTGTGTGTGTGTGTGTGTGTGTGTGTGTGTGTGTGTGTGTGTGTGTGTGTGTGTGTGTGTGTGTATGTGTGTGTGTGTGTGTTTGTGTTTGTGTGTTTGTGTGTGTGTGTGTGTGTGTGTGTGTGTGTGTGTGTGTGTGTGTGTGTGTGTGTGTGTGTGTGTGTGTGTGTGTGTGTGTGTGTGTGTGTGGTGTGTGTGTGTGTGTGTGTGTGTGTGTGTGTGTGTGTGTGTGTGTGTGTGTGTGTGTGTGTGTGTGTGTGTGTGTGTGTGTGTGTGTGTGTGTTTGTGTGTGTGTTTGTGTGTGTGTGTGTTTGTGTGTGTGTGTGTTTGTGTGTGTGTGTGTGTGTGTGTGTGTGTGTGTGTGTGTGTGTGTGTGTGTGTGCGTGTGTAAAACTGAGAACAGTCTATATATGTAAATTTAAATAATTATCACAAATTACACAAAATTTCATAAAAGTATTTTATACTTTATTACTGAATTGCAGGTATCAAACATAACAATTTACGTTTGAAAATGTGCTGCAGTTATATTTTCAATTTATGAATAATGATTGAATAAATCATGAACAATGATAGTCCGCATGTGAAACAAGGACGTTCTAACTACAGAACAAAACTAAATCTAGGATGAAGGATGAAAAAAGTGAACCCAATAAACAGCTTCATAAAAGTTAGACATATGAAATAAATAAGAAAGTGAACTACAGAGTGTGGAGAATTATCATGAGGAAGTACGTCCATGCAACTAACATTTCATCTTAGTGGTAGTGTTAATTCACACACTAAGCATTGCTATTATTGACATACTATCTTGGCATTCTTTAATCCTTTCCTAATGCACAGCTGCTTTCAACATGTGTGCTTTCATTCTGTGGCAGCCATTATGTTAAAACTCCAAATGCTAATCGTCCCAAATCTTCTAAATTCTGTATTAGTCACGACACAGACATTACTTATTAATCAAGAGCCACAAGCATAATAATATAAAGCCATAGCAAAAACATTTAAGGTCACATGGTATACCATTTAAAAATAAAGAGAAAACAAGCATTTTTCAGAGACTAGCTCTCACTCTCTCTCTCAAGAAAATAACTGTGATGTCACGTCCACTGCACGACATCAAACCAGGAAGTTACGAGTCTCTCTACAAACCCATGCTTTTAAGATCTCATCACATCTAAGTATTTCACAGCCAAAAAGCTCTGACTCTGTGTGAGTGAGGAATGGACTCTTCTCGAGTTACCTGCCAAGACTGAACCTCGAGTCCCTGGTCGCTCACCAAATGAAGTTCCTAATCGCTTCCCTGTAGATTTTTTAAAAACACTCATTGCTGAATTTTCTGTGCTAAATTTGGTTCCATGCCTCAATAATAATAAAGTGAATTAATAATATTAATCTGGGCTACCTACTAAAAAAAAAAAACTATAAAAAAAAAGTGTGGGTAGAGAGTGATGAAAATAACAGTAAAGTGTCCTTCAAGAGACAATTTATATTTTTTCTCTCCATGCTGCATTAATCAAAACATGTGAAGCTCTTAACATTTAGATAACATAAAAAATGAACAAGGTGTCAACTTCCAAGCAAAGAGGAGGTATTCATTCTCCACCTCTCTCCTCATACCCCTTGGAATTTCAAATAGTGTACTAGGCTAATGGTGAACAACTGAGCTTTGTGATCTACCTTAGCTCATGAAGAAATCGGTGGTTTCAAGTCAAATCCTGCACTTTTTGCTATCCATTTTA